CTCACTACTTACCAGCTAAATTACCCTGGACAGCGACTGGACCTCTCTGAGCTTCATTATCTTCATCTGTAGCATAGAGACAATGAATGACAGCTTTCCCACTAGCTGGCTAAAAGGATTAAATCAAATGACCGGCAGAGGGCTATCAGCCCAGTGCTCCCCTGCCCTGCCTACCTGTGGGCTAGAGGGGGCAGGTGGATTGGTGAGGCAACATCAAGCAGAAGTGGCAGTCATGCCAGAAAGGAGAGCTGGTCCCCTGGAAGTGACATCTGAAAGCTCATGCAGTCTTTCTAAGTTCAAGATGGTGAGATCCTCCCTTCTGTCCCTCTGTGTGGATGTGGGTATGTGTGCACACAAGGTCATAAACTTTTTCTTTAAGTGACTATAGTCACCAATCACTCACTATGGTGGTCACCACAGCCCTCCCCACTGCAGAGGGAAGGCCTGGTCCTCAAGCAGGAAACCAAACTGAAAGGGAAGGGAGTGGTCTTTGGGGTTTTCACCCTGCCCCAGAGAAAGGATCAAGGGACACTCTGGCTGTTCCTTTTTGGCCAAAATTAAAAAATAGTGACCACTACAGCACTGGAAAGGGAGCTCACAGTGGTTAAACACCTACTAGTTTAACCTACCAGTTAAGCCAGCTCTCAATTCATTATAACTAATTTAGTCTTTACTATCCTGCGAAGTAGCTCTACTCTCCCACTTGACAAATAGGGAAACTAAGGCTCAGAGAGTTTCAACAACTTGCTGAAGGTCACACAGCTAGTAAGTGTCAGTACTGGGAGTCAAGCCGTGTTTTATTCTTACACAGCATTGCCAAGCCAGGGCACTGACAGACATAACTTTCAGACGCCTTTAACATGCCTGAAATGCTCCTGAACAACTGTTGTTATGGGGGTTTTTCCTTCTTTAGTTAACTTCCTTTTTGTTGTTAACACTTAGGTCAGACTTTAAAGGGCAGAGGGAGGACAACACACTCCCGCGGCCAAGTCAGGGGATAGTAACAGGGTCAGAGGAAGATCCCAAAGAGGAAAACGAAATTCAAGGGCTGCTCGTTCCATCTGAGCAGTGGGGTGTGAGGGTTAAGTGTCCAAGTCCTGGAGTCACAAAAACCTGCTTCAAGACCTAGCGCCACCACTTACTGACCTGGGGAAGGTTATTTCACCTCTCTGCCTCAGTTTCCTTTTCTATGAAATGGTACCGATGTAGACACTACCTCACAGAGCCATGAGGATTCAACGTCATGCTGGCTTGGAGGTGCTTAACACAGTGTCTGACACAGGGCACGCTCATGTCACCAATTAGAATGATTATTAATTCTCCCTCAAGAGCTTTCCTCAGTCCACATCTCCTGTTTTAACAAAGAAAGCAAAGAAAATATATAGACGTGATCAAACGAATAAGACTTTGGACTTTTGTCGACATGAGAACTCAGCGTGGTGAGTAGGAGAAACAGAGTCCCCCAGTGCTGGTCGAGGAGGCTGCGAGAAGGAGTGTAGAGCAGGGTTCTGGAGGGCAGTTTGGTGACCGGGTGGGAACGGCAGAGACCCCGGGGAAGGTGAGGGGGGAGCAAGTAGGGAAGCACAGGGACTGGGGCAACAAGGACCCGGTTAGTGGGCACATGGAAAAATGTCCGCAGCTAAGCAGGAGGCTGGGGGGTGTCAGGAGAGTTTCGTAGGAAGCAGAGTGGAGAAGTCCTCGCTTATTGAGTGTCTGCTGGGTGTTAAGCTCTTTACATACAACCATTTAACCCTCACACCCCAGGAGGCACCCTCATTTTCCAGGTGAGGACAGTGATGCCGAGAAGTGAATTAACCTAGTGACTGGAGGGGATTTAAGTCTGGGTCTGGCCGGCTCCAAAACACCCAAGCCATATTCTGGCTGGCACATTCCAGCACAGCATCTAGTGGTCCTAAACCAAACCAGCCCCGCCTTACAGTCATCCCACATCCTCCAAACTCACTCACGTCACTGCCCTCCAGATCACCCCTGCAGCTGCAGGTAGGCCCCGGTCTTACACCTCACCTCACGAACTACTGCGATGAATGCCAGAAGCCAGGTTCATGGAGCCTCGACCTTGGGGGCTCTCAGAGCTTCCACCATGAGGTACAGGCCTAGAGAGGAGGTCCTCTGAGCAGGGAGAGCCAGCAGGAGCTTTCCCTGTACTGGAGCTCCTCTGAATCCAGAGCTCCGTGTCTACTGCAGCCTGATCTCAAGGAACCACTATTTGGAACATCAGTCTGGGTGATTCTGACAGGGACCTGGAGAACAGAACTAGCAAGGGCTTGGGGCTGCCATGTGACTCTCTGAAACACCCCAGCCTCTGGGATGCCCCATGTAAGCAGAGGGCAGGCTGGGTTTCCCACACACATTCTTTCAAAAGCAAAGGGCATCCTCTTTTGCTCACCCCAATTTCAGAGCCCTGTGGCCAGCTGGCTTGTAAGGTCTGTGAGAGGGCCCGCTGTGTGAGTAGCCCACCCTTCCCAAAGGTGGCGTATTCCCCAGCCTTCCCTGCCCGGCGCCCTGCGGGGAGGGAGTCAGGGAGTCCAGAGGGCAGGCCCTGCAGTTCTGCCTGTTCCTGCGGTTCCTCCTGGTGGGGGCGAACACAGCAGCGAGTTTCTTCCACACTGCAGCCCCGGGCCGCACCTGCTGCATTTCCCCGCGAAGCCAAATCTTTGCTGGGTACGAGGTGGCTGGGAGGCAGAGCTGGAGGAGCGGGTGCGCCAGCTAGAGAGGGCAAGGAGGGGATCTGCAGATCCTGTCTGGCAGCATCATAATAATAGCAACATATCTCGCCTCTCCTCGGGCCTGGGATAGTTGCTATTGATTGTTTCCTCCTTGCCGACTTCATTATGTTGGCAGGAGCCTCTCAGGAGCGCTCCTCAACTTCTGCCCCCTCCACATCTCTCCGGGCCCCGCGGCACCCAGCTGAGCTCCCCACGAGTTCTGGTTAGTAAGCTGCGTTCTGCCAAAGATGAGGGTGTTTTCCTCGTGGGGTGGCAGCCGAGGCCCAGGGTCCCAACTAGGTGGCTAGGTCCGTGGCCGCGGCGGACGGCACGCCTCCTCGGCTCTGGCCCCCGCCGGCCCCTTTAATTCGAGTTCGCTGCCGGGCCAGGTGCGGCGCTGCGTGGCGCGGTGCGGCGCG